ATCTTGTTGATGTAGGCAGATATGTTTTCTTTATATCTGGAACATACAACCCATACTGCTGCACTTCAAAATCCATTAGTTGGAACAAATTGTCTGATATCTTTGGAAGAGGAAAAAAAGACTGCTCTATTGAGATTTGCTCTTTTAGACATCTTTTTTTTTTTTTTTGCGCATTTATTTCTAGACAATAAAGGCAACAGCGCCATCTTGTGGTTAACAGTGAAGCTGGATAGTAAAATATGATTTCTCCCTGTTTGTGTTTGAATACTACCTTTAATGTGTTGTTTTTGCCTTTAAAGACTCAAATGCTGAATAAACACCTGAGTTCCCTCATGCCAGGATTGACTGCAAAGGTTTTTAGGACATACAACGCCTCCATAACCCTGCAGCAACAGCTGAGAGAACTCAGCAACGGTGAGTGTCTTGGGGTTTTTTCTTTCTCTCTCCTATTTTCTTTCTCCATTCTATCAGTCAAATTTCAAATGAACATTCAACATCAAGACAACTAGTACAACTTCCAGATGTTCAGTCATGGCGTCAGTATTGGATTTATGTTGGAACATTTGCTAAAACACTTGAATATGATGCCAATATGGATTTCTGTCAGTGTTCAAAACAACATTGTACATTTTGACAACTGTGAGTCCACAGGGACATATGGATATTGTTAGTATGACAGTGTGTCCAAACTTTATGTAAGCAACATAATCAACAAAATCTCTACTTTGCGAACACACGTGTTTAGCTGCAGTTTCACATCAGTGTTTGAGTCCGTAGTTCATTGCAGCCTCACTGACTGTCTATCAGGGTTATTAGTTTTCTTTTCTTTTTTTTAAATATTACTTTGTGGTTTTAATTTCTATTTTGTTTTCAATTTGTCTTTTCAATTTAGTTTCTATTTTTATTAATTATTATAAAAAATATTTCTATTTTAATTTCATTTTGGTTTTTTTTCAATGTAGTTTAGATTTTATTCATTTTAATTTTGATATTTTAGGGCTGCATAAGTTAATGTTTAACATTGCTAAATTTCTCAGCCCAATCTAGTGCTACTGCTGTGGAGAGTTTTTAGGTTCAAGTATAATATACCATGTATCTAAAATATTTTGTGATAATTTTTTTTGTTTGAGTTAGTTTTGGAGTGATAAAAATAGTTTAGTTTAAGTTTTCCCAGTTATGTTGCATTTAGTTTTGGTTTTCTTTAACCATTACCATGCTGTCGATGTCCAGAGTTTTGGACTTTTTTTGCACACTTGCAGTGTATATATATTGCTTAAGTAGCAGCTAATCAGAAAATAACATGATTTCTGAGTTGCAACATTGAGTTTTTCCTACAAGGTAGCTATAAACTGCTGAAACATCTGGATTCAGTCAAAATTGCTCAGATTAGAAAGTGTTTATGTGCCTTAAGTGCTTTAATGTTGCTTCATTAAATCCCTATATTGAAAAAGGATTAATGTTTTTCAAAGCTACTTGTCGAACTAGAAATAATGGTTGTATAAATATGGTGAATTTATTATACAGTGTATATATATAATGTTATAATTCACTGTTTTATACATTCTATACATTAAATTCAACTGTCTGACAAAATGTCCTGTTGCTTTTAGCTTGTTGTAGTCATGAAATATCAAGAGAAAAACTACTTAATAACATGGAAGATATTGCTTTTAGCGCATCATGCCTGGTTAGGACACGGTTTGACGGGCACATTCTAGTTTGTTTGCGCCGCTAGCAGTGTGAACGGGGTTCTCATTAATTACCGAATTGTGTGTTTGCGCTAATGAGAGACTGTTGAATGTTTGGGAGTAGTATAATTATCTGAGGATCTCTAGAGCGAGTGCTGCAGTGTGTGTGCATGTGATGTGTGTGTAATGCTGGGGTGGAGGTGTCAGATCGCCACTGAGAGGAAATCTGTTTTCTGCATCCGCTACAAGCTCTAATTAAATCAGCTCAGTGTGTGGCAGGGTCTCGTTCATCAGGTGCCATGTGCTTTGTGTGTATAAGTGCTGGGCGTGTTGGCCTGGAATTTACAAATTTACACAGACAAGCCTGTTTAAGGTCCTGTAATTATCAACTTTTTGGCATTTTAACCATGTTTTTGGCTCTTTTCCTTTGATTCACCTCGAAGTAAAAAGTGAAAGTGAAATGTGGCCAAGTATGTTGACCCATACTCAGAATTTGTGCTCTGCATTTAACCCATCCAAGTGCACACACACACACAGTAGTGAACACACATGCACACCGTGGACACACACCCGGAGCAGTGGGCAGCCATATTGCTGCGGCGCCCGGGGAGCAGTTGGGGGTTCGGTGCCTTGCTCAAGGGTCTCATCTCAGTCGTGGTATTGAGTGTGGAAGAGAGCACTGGTTATTCACTCCTCCCACCTACAATCCCTGCCGGACCTGAGACTCGAACCCGCAACCTTCGGGTTACAAGTCCGACTCTCTAACCTAAAAAAAAATTAGTTTTTCATGAAGAAAGTGCTTTTTGATTTTTATAACCGTTAATTTATTTAGCCTTTTTAAAAATTATTTTTATTACAATTAAGCACAATTCTCTTTTACTATAAGGTGAAAAAAAATCATTATTATTTTAATGCAAAAATATAGCTTAAATTTAATTATTTACAATTTATATATGTACTTATATCTACTTATACATCATTTTTAATCGCAAATTACCCCCCAAATGATAATTTAAAGTCATTGTATTAAATGAAAAAAGCGTTGAATAGACATTACAGAAAAGCAGTATTCTGTAGTAGTATTGAAGTATTGAAAAAAAATGAAATGATACTCTAAATATGAAATTAAATCAGCCAGTAGGTGGCAGCAAGTCACTGTCTTAATGAGTCATTCATTCAACAGATTCTTTCAAACAGCTGATTCATTCAAAAATGAAGCATCTGTCTTTATGAATGGGTCACTGAGTTATTGGCTGAATAATTTCTTCATTTATTTAGTTTAGTTTGATTTGTTAAAAGACATAACCTTTATTATAAGTAATTGTTTAAAAAGTAATAGTTATTTTGTTGAAATGCATGTGACATGTTTGTTCTGAAGGAGGTAACAGCTGCCAGTTTCCACATTTAAATGTATCTGTGACTGTCATTTATTACATTTTCTTACTTCTCTCTCTCTTTCTCTATCTCTATCTCTCTCTCTCTCTTGTTCTGTATGGGTGTGTTAATGTATCATTCTTACTACAGCGACGGATAATGTGGTGGAGAAGTTGCTCTCTTACAACAGGGCAAACCGTGCGGTTGCAATTCTATGTAACCATCAGCGGGCACCGCCAAAGACCTTCGAACAATCCATGGCTAACCTGCAGACAAAGGTACTGGAGATATGAGACTGAATAGTGAAAAAAATCATTTTAATATCATGAAAAAAGCATTTGAATATGATGCTGTCTTATTACATTTTTTTTTCTCTTCTCTTCTTTTTCTTTAAGATTGACAGCAGGAAAGAGCAGCTGGACTTGGCTAAGAAAGAGCTAAAGCAGGCCAAGAAAGAAGCCAAAGGGAGCTCAGACAACAACCTGCTCATGTCAGTATCTCATTCCAGGCCTCTGAATAAGGGGACGTTTGTTTGCTCTTCCAGCTATTAGAGTCTTTTTGTAGATGAATATGATATACACATGTATAAAGCATTTTATGTGTTCAGGGTGGTGAAGAAGAAGAAAGCTGTGCAGAGGTGTGAGGAACAGCTGCTGAAGATGAGAGGTTCAGGCTACAGACAGAGAGGAGAACGAACAGATCGCCCTGAGCACCTCCAAACTCAACTACCTGGATCCACGCATCAGCGTGGCCTGGTGATAATGTCACACTCAAATACACAAACATGCTACACAGGAAGCCTCGTTGTATTTCATATTAGAATATGTTCAGTGTTTCTTTACTTTATTTTCTGCTTCTAGGTGTAAGAACATGGAGGTGCCACTGGATAAAATTTACAACAAAACCCTAAGGGATAAGTTTGCCTGGGCTATCGACATGACTGAACATGACTTTGTGTTCTGAGTGTGGTTTGTTTATCTTCCAATATACCCCAGTATTTTATACAAATGTACATTTGAATTGAATCTGTTAACTGAATTGTGCAGCCACGTTTTAACGATGGTTCAATAAATGTTCTTCCTTTGTAGGAAATCCCTAGTCACTTTTTTTTTTTACTATGTTACCACAAAAGCTTTTTGGGAGACAAGACTCAAGAAATATTTGGGTTATATTTCACCCCAAAATCACAGGGGAAAAAAAGGAGAGACTAAAAAAAGAAAATTAAGGTTAACAATAAGATTTTTTTATTTTTGCATTGTCACAAATATGTTCAAAATATATGGTAATTCTCATTAAAATAATGTGAAAAAAATAATACAGTAATGAAAATCATCTGGGCCTGTTCCAGGTTTATTAGATTCTGTACAACATACTTCCATGATTTACGAATGCGTTTTTATTATAAATCTAATGTAAATTATTTAAAATATTACTTATTTTGGGGGAAAATGCTCATGGTTTGACCTTTTTTTGAGACTGATCTGTTTCTAAGTCCAATATAATCTACCAGTATATACCAATGCAAGTCTTTTTCCCCCCCGAGTCCAGATTCAAAAATAGATTTTTCTTCGGTTGGGAGTCTTATCAAGCGATTTAGTCAAATTTTAGCTGAAGCCATTGATGTTCCGCATTATGCGGTAGACCTTTGATAGTGGTATTGTTTCAAATTGCATGTAAATGTGTTAATCATCATCTTACCCAGCTTAAATATTGATCAGATATAAACAAAGTGATTTACATTTCTAAGAATTCAGTCATTTTTAGCTTCAGCGTATTTGACCCAAGAGATTTTGCATGTCAGCATATGTTCCTTTGATGTATTTAACTTACTTGCAACTGCTAGAGAGGAGCAGGTGAAACAGTGAAAGATAGTGGTGTTACAGACTACTCAGTTTGGCTTAAGTAGGCTATACCAGTAAAGAGAGATAAGGACACAGGTTTTAAGAAACAACTTTAATTCAACAACAAATTCACTTTAACAGGAATGGTGTTAGGTTGGAACTTTGGGCTAGTGCTAATTACAGTAATGCAGGGTTCAGTTCTACAGTTGGATGTCATGTTTAAAAAGTTCTTTGCAATCCATTGCAGAAAAAGGAGGGGGGGGAAAGAGAGTAGCATACAGTCACAGTATTAGGACTGACTTTAATTCCTTCTAAATATAAAAAAAAGCATCACATCAAACCAAAATATGTTAGTCACCATAGAGAAAATTTTGCTGCTCCTGAAGAGTGTTTATAGTTTCTTCTACTCAGCATTCTGTGAAAGATAACACTGGATCAGGGCAATGCATTTTAATATAGTATACCAGAATGAAATGCACTTCAAATTTCCATTTAGAAAAAGACATTCACAACTGGTTTCAGCTAAAATAGTTTAATCGATAGAAATAAGAAACTACCTCTACTAGGAAGCCTCTCCCTCTTTGACCTTGTTCTCCCCTTCAATCTCTTCCACTCCTGCCTGAGTCATCAGGTCTGCTATATTCTTCTCTAGATCATCGATGCGGGTGCTCATTTCATCAAGTGAATCTTATTAAGGAAGATAGGATCAAGTACAGGTAATACCACTGTTTAAATCCATAGGCATTGAGCGCATAGCTAAAGCAATATCTGCTTGGTAGATTTTGACTAAACAAAGTTTTCTCGACACCTGCATAGTACTGAGTTAAAGCATGTATGCATTTGTAGATTTTTGTAGATAGTTTTATGAACCTGGCTACGGGGTGGCGATATGATTTTGATCTTGTGGTAAATTTTGGTTCTGTGAAAAAATTCAAACTTCAAAGTATCTTGATTTAAGAGTCTTTGGACATTTGCACTGGAAAACAAGACAAATACTGAGGAAGATGTTCATTTTTTAGCAGTGTATGCAACATTTAATTCAATTATGAGATTTAAGATTTTCTGCTCTGATTTAAGACCTTTTTTCTTTCATTTGTGGAAGTGCGAATTAATTTTTTTTTTAAGACATGCAGAAACCCTGTTCACCCGAGTAGGGCATTTTGCTCTCATTTGTGGACTGTATGCAAAATATAACATTCTCATAAAAACATAAATAAAAAGTATTCACTAAATAGCAACTAAACACATTTAAAGACCTCTAAACAGCTTGCTGTGATATAGAAATTACCTCTGGGACTATGACCGCCCCACTGAAAAATAAATTATACAGCTATACTAAAAACAAGAAAGGATATTTCTCCCGATGATCTGGTCTGACATTGTCTGGAACTTATCCTGCATCTGCTGCAGCAATGTCTGTACCTGTTAGGGAGAAACGTTAATCCGACGTGTAAAAATGCATAAAGATATGGAAATAAATCAAATAAAAAGATAAAACAAACAAATCAGCTTGTTTAAGTCACGACAACTATATTATCAGAAAAAAATCTAATATTAAATATTAAACGAAGTTTACGTCGCATCAAAATAATCCAAGTAGAACACATAAACAGGGCCTAGCATTAGCCTAGTTTAGCAAACCACAAAAATATGTCGTTTATTATCAAACCTACCACTGCTGTGAGATCCTGCACTGATTTTGGGTCTGTCTCTGCCATATTTTCCAAATAAATAATCTGTATAACAGCAAAAAGATGTTTATTCTTCTCTAAACTGTGTATCTTCCCAGCTCTTTGCCTTCTACTGATCAGCTGTTGGATAAATCACGGAGTCGTGACAAATATCGCGAGATTGTAGAGACCTCTAAGGGAGAGATTCCCGTTGCTGCAGGCAGGCAAATCAACCTCTGGCGTGATCAAACGATGCACAGTCATTTCATCTATTAAAACCAGTGACAGGTTACAACAGGATAGGCCAGAATTTATAAAGATAATTCAGCTGATTTTGTTGCGAATTACAACAATAGTTTAGGGATTTTTTTTGTTGTTGCCCCATTTCAGTTGCAGATATTAGCTACTAAAGTCTTTGTTATATGATATGCATATTTTGGCCTTTTAGGCAAATTTTCAAAGAAAACAGGCATAGGTAGGTTAATGGGTACATAGATTGGATGATAAAAAAAAAAATTTTAAGTTGTTGTGGGTAAGTTGTTTATTTGTTAAATGTATACATGGTAGCCTATGGCCTACAAAGGGACGTTGTTTTGTTTTGTTTTTTCGTCATAGTTTTTTTTTTTATTGAACTTTTAAAATTACAGAATTCAACCGCAAGTTCTTGACATTTCTCACATTTATACATTTTGTAAGTACAAATTTAAACACCATTTAAATCAAATAAAAAAATAGAAAGAAAAAAATTTATGGGCATCACAAACATAGGCCTACCTTAAATTATTTTAGCAGAGAGACAGTTCTTTGGGCTTTTCGAATTTTTTTTTTTTTTTTACTTTACAGATTCTAAACAAATGACAGTGGAAAGAACATGAGCAGAAGTGGATACTGGATTTTAAACAATTCGCTTTTATTAAATTATGAATTTAAGTGTGAATGAAGTCTTAAGAATAATTGGTAAATAGCCTATAAACAGGGTTTAGCTTCACTGGGATATTATGAAATATAGCCTATAGCTAAACTGAGGAGTTTAGCTATTAAAATGAGTAAAACAGTTGCCAGAAATAAACTGGCCAAAATACAAGCCATCATCCAAGAATTTGGTCCCTTATGTGATGAAACCGATTTAACAGATGAAGAAACTCAATCTCATAAAATTTACAAGAGGATTTAAATAGTATACACATTATATGACGGATTTTAGGCTACTCTCTCTCTCTCGGCCAAAGTGACGTTGTTTTGTTGTTACCACGTTTTACCGTTCCTATACTCTAAACCTCAAAATGAAGGCAATGGGAGTAGTAGCGCTACTCAAACAAATATTTGGTTAGATCTCGTGAGTCGTGGTGTTCCCTGTTTATTTTTTATTTTCTTCCTTCCTGTTCCTCTGTAACATTAGACCGATGAAAGCTGCGCGGTCAAGCCCACGTCTCCAAACTGCATCAGCCTGATGATGGCTAGATGAGACAGCATGTGTGTGTGCTGCTGCTATTATAGTTGTCAAACAAGTCTTCGCCTGAAACAAGGTATGCTTGAACTTCCTAAGGTTTTTTTTCTCTTCTTTGCAACTTCTTTCTGTTATATCAAGCTGTTTCGTTACAGTAAAGCAAAACCTGCGCCGCGAAACTCTGCTGAAAATGCAGAAAGAGTTTGAGTTTAGCGTTTAAAGCGAAAAGCACCACGGTGTTCTTGTGCATTGCGTTTAACTGCTGATCGCAGAGTTCTTGCACGCGATAATACATTAACATTCACTTTGACTTATCAGGTTCACTTGATACTGAACAAGAAAAGCAGTCGATAAAACATGTAGGCTACACCCGAATTCATGTATCCCCGAATGGTTTGTCCGTATCCTTGTAATGATTAGCGATGTCCTGTTCGTGAATGAATTGTTCTTTTGAATCAGATCGTTTTCAATGAATTATTTGAACCGGTTCACAAAACGATGTCGTTCATGAATAAAACTGAAACAAAAGCGGTTATCGAGTTTAACCAGGTGGGTTGGAGTTTATCTTTTGTGTCTCGAAATTATACATAGTAACTCTTTGGATATGTCCGATTTGTTATGAGCTGAGAACCCATTTGTGATTTTATATAACTTTTTAAAGTAAATGGATTTAACTGATAAGTCAAAAGTTGCTTCATTTGCCAAATAGCTGAAATATTAACTAACAAAACTGAGGATTTTTATGACTCGATTGTATGGCGGTTTTAAATAACTTTCCGCCTTGTGGTAGGCTAAATAAATTTTACTATTCAATACTGTAAATTCAAATCAACCTATATTTAGGTTCTACTTTACATTTTATGAGTTGAATCGTGGCTGTGACAAAGTTGCTGTCAAATGATTAAACTCTAAATACTAAAACTTAATTTAAAAATATAATAAATATGCATACACTGCTTTATTCTGTAACCCAAAGCTTTAGATCTTGTGATACATGACGTAAAAGAACCACTGAATCATTTTTGAACCGATCGATCGATACGAATCGTTCAAAAGAATCGTTTTAAATGATTCAGACTTCCCATCACTAATAGTATTAGTGGCCATACACACGAGGCTTTGTTGCTCTTAAAACAGCTATCGGAGTGCGACTGAACTACTTTTTAAGATGCAACTATCACAAATGCTGTATACAGAAAAAAACAGTTTCAAATGTAGTGACAAACCATTTCTATGTAAACAGACTCTTAGGTTGGAACCAATTTAAGGGATTTTCCTGCTATCCAAATTTGCTGCTGGATCCGATTTCTAAAGATCATAACACAAATGTGCACCTGGCAATATGAAGTGCCTCAAGCATACCAAACGTATTTTTTGCCCATGTTTGCCATTCCAGAAAAATGATAGCCTTCTTATGTCCAGCACAGCTAAAACTGTTTACAGTATAGGTTTGGATCTAAACATCTGTTCAAATAGGAGACACAAAAGAGAGAAAGGTGAAGACATGTCAGAAGAGCCCAACCCCCTACGGAATGCAGAAGTTATGCAACACCTCTATGTACAGTAGCAGTTCTCATTGCTAGACCTCCAGGTCACAAGCAATGCTTAAGTACTTGGTTCCAGCTGACTTCATGGGGATTAGGGAACATTCCTTACTAATCTGATCACTTAAACCCACAAAATCTCCTTTAAAATGTTGCAGGACCTTTAGACTTGATTTTGATCTTGAGTTTTAAAATTCCAAATTTTCCTTGTCAACCATCAACACTAGCTAGCTAGAGACTTCACACTGGCTAAAAAAGATAAAGATGTGTTGAAAGTGACAACATCTGTAAGAATTGGTTAAAATGACAAAGCACTCTCTAAAGTTTTGACATTTATGCCACCATTTTTCATTTATTGCCCCCTTTTGTTCGCAGAATAGCATTTCTTTTATAGTTTTATGTAAATGGTTATACTGTATGTTTTTTTAAATAAAAATATATTAAATGTTTATTTTTTTCTCATTTTTTGTTTGATTTTTTTTATGAACACATGAGGAAAATACATGAATATATAAATATATACACAAGAAAGTAAGACACTGAAATGTACAAATATAGGACCTCATAATTTTTTTATTAAAATGCAGTATTGTTTATGGATTTATAGCTATCTTGGTGTTTCAAATTAATTATAATAATCGTTTAATTTCCAGATATTGTTGTTTTGGTTTTGTAAAGAAAATGTAACATTTGATGAAAAATAAATTATACGTGTGAAAAAATATAATAAATATTTAAGTGTTTTTAAAATATTTAAAAGGATTTATTTCAAAAGCTCTTATATTTATTTTACTTAAATTATAATTATATATATTTTAAAATATGCACAATATAAAATTACAATTTAAATTTATATATATATATATATATAAATTTTTTTTTTATGTGTGTTTGGGCCAGTAAAGCTGCTGGTCAAGTAGAAAAATGAATGAATCAGAAAAAAATTAAATGTAATGTTAGCATAGATTACACTTTCTTGCATCACAAACCTTTTCTTACATCCTTTAAAGAATATTCACACCCTCAGGAAACATGTCTGTTCAAAGACTTGTGCTGAATTGGGGAACTGATGCTGCAAAGTAAGCTCAAAACAGTTTCGAAACTTTTCCGCAGTGTATTCTAGAACGTGCAACTCAGCCTGTTCTTTTGATGTGACGTTTGTTTGGTCAGAAACAAAAAGGAGCCTTATCTTTTGGTGCACAGTCCTCCTTGAGCACAAACGTCCTGTTTAGCTGAGATACTGTCAGAATGGGTGGCTGCATGTAGATGACTATTACTGTTCCTGACTACTCTGACAATTGCCCCTCATTGTATTTCATGTCCAGAAAGGCCCACATGAATCATTTACAGTGTGTTTATATTGTAAGTATTATTGTTCCTGTGGGAGCTTTAAGGTTACTGAAGGTGGCACTGTTGCTTTTATTGGTGCTGTAAGGGTTTGTTGCAGCAATATATGCCTATTTTATTAGTTTTAGCTAGCAGACTGCTAATTTAATCTTGACTACACTGCATTGCACTTTCTATATTTGTGATCAAATATAAAAGTTTCCTAACCTCTTCTTGCAGGGTATGGGAGTATAAAGACAGTGATTTGTGAAAGACTAAGCGATGGAGCAGGGGTCAGAGGAGAACATGGAGAGCTCATGGACTCTGCTCTCCGGGCTGGCTTCTGGCGTGATGGTGTTTGGAGGTGCGGTGCCCTACGTCCCCCAGTACCAGGACATCCAGAGGACCAATAACGCTGAGGGATTCTCAACAAGAGTCTGTCTGGTGCTGCTCGTTGCTAATATACTTCGCATTTTCTTCTGGTGAGTGGAGGAGAGTTAATATTGATTGATGGCCAATGTGGAAATCAAAGTGAAATAAACAAGAACAAATCTAATTAATAAAGGCTGAATTTTAGTATATGTCTGTATGCATTTATTTATTTGGGTCCAATTTTTTTTTTTTTAAATAGCATTTCTTCTTCCCAATATAATTTTTTATTATGCAGTTTTTATGTATAAGGTTATATTATATATATAAAATTAAAAAAAATTAAATTAAGATGTAAAATTAAAATCCACCCATCCACTAAATGCATCTTACTGATCTTATTGTAAACTATTTTAAAATGTTTGTTTTGTTTTTTTTGACCTTGTCATTTTTAGTCAATACCATGACTCAGTCTTCCAGTAAACGACGTATGATATATGCCGGACTTCTAAAATTATTTAGTCTGCTTAAACCCCGCCCCTTTTTACATTTGACTGAAAATTTGCATTCAGATCTGCCTCTATCCAATCAATGACCGGTGGATAGAATCAAACCCTACCCTACATTTGTTTTCTTTTTGACAGTCCGTTTCACTTGCATATGCATCACAATGCGGAAGAAATGATCTGTCTCTATTTCAGTTACATCATGACTTTAAAGGAATAGTTCACTGCAAAAAAATAACACTTGCTGAATATTTACTCACCCTCAGGCTATCCAAGATGTTGATGAGTTTGTTTCTTCATTGTAACAGATTTGGAGAAATTTAGTATTACATCACTTGCTCACCAATGGATCCTCTACAGTGAATGGGTGCCGTCAGAATGAGAGTTCAAACAACTGATAAAACATCACAATAATCCACAAGTAATAAAAGCTTAAGCCACGTTACTGTTGTTTTCTCCACATTTTAATTTTTTTGGTGAACTATTCCTTTAATGTATAAAAAAAACGTCTCGGGTTACTTATGTAACCAACGTTCCCTGAGTAGGGAACGAGACACTGCGTCCTCTAGGGATCGCTATGGGGAACGCCTCGTCGTGACCCGTGTCTGAAGCATACATTGAAAAAACAGATAACGCTCAAAACTCACCATACGCAGAGCAGGAGGATTGGGAAGGCTCAGCCTCAGCTTCTTCGCCGTCCTCAGACATCTCCTGCTCTTACTGGGCCGAACCCAGCAGAGCACCGGCCCCCGGATCAAACGATGTTAAAGAAATAACATCATCCTCCAGCAGCTTACTCTCGTCCACAGCCGACGAGCGCGAGAGGGAAAATCCCTTTTTAAACTCATCAGCCAGATCCACCTGCGATCCCCACGAGCCCATCCTCCTCCGTTCCTCAGCAGCGGTGGGTCCTGAGCCGCGGGGAGCAGATGGCTGCCCCCCTTTCCTCGAAAAGAGAGACAAATGAGAGCGGAGCTTTTCATTAAAATACACTCGTGATGAACGCCGATTGCCACCTCAAGGACATAACGTGCGTGCTCTTTGCCCAAACAAACAACGCAGAGATCGTGTGTGTCATCAGGTGTCAAATAACGACGACGCGGATGCACACACCCTCTAAACGCTTTGCTAGTGCTTGCCATAACGATAGGAATATAGATCGCTCTTACCACGGAAATGCACGCTTCAAACAGAGAGCGGAGCTTTTCATTAAAATACACTCGTGATGAACGCCGATTGCCACCTCAAGGACATAACGTGCGTGCTCTTTGCCCAAACAAACAACGCAGAGATCGTGTGTGTCATCAGGTGTCAAATAACGACGACGCGGATGCACACACCCTCTAAACGCTTTGCTAGTGCTCGCCATAACGATAGGAATATAGATCGCTCTTACCACGGAAATGCACGCTTCAAAAAAAACGGTCAGTGAAGACGAAGAAGAGAATGACATGTTCTCCCGGCGCCTATTTATACTATAGTCGCACCGGTAGTGAAATCATGGGCTGTCGCCGGCCAACGTGTTGTTGGTGTTTTTTCAATGTATGCTTCAGACACGGGTCACGACAAGGCGTTTCCCATAGCGACCCCTAGAGGACGCAGTTCGAAGTTCCCTTGAAAGGGAACTTTAAGTAAGCCATTCATAGGTTGTTTTCCCTCAAAAGTGTAAAGATTTTCAACTCTGTGGCCTTCCAAATGAACTTATCTGAACCAGCCTAACATAGCAACAATGGCTCAACAAATGGCGTGCGTTTGGGGCAGGGCTCTCCATTTGGGAAACCTGTTTGAAAATGGCATAGCTTTTACACACTTCACCTTTAAATTAATTGCTTTGTTTTGCAGGATAGGCAAGCAGTTTGAGCTGCCTTTGCTCCTGCAGAGTGTGGTGATGATTTTCACCATGCTGGCTATGCTACATTTGTGCTGTTCCATCCAGAGCAGCAACCGTGTCAGTACTAAACAGCACCACATCACAGGTAATCACATTAAACACTCTGTATCCAGTAATAGTCTGAAACATTTTGCTTGAAACCTGTGCTTTTGCTATGTAAATATTGGTTCAATATTTTGTCTCATACATTTTTAAGTGTGGTTAAAGTGTCCAATATTTTGGGGGATCATATTAAGAGATAAATCATTGAAAGGTAGCGATAATCTCTGGGTTGAAAGAGGAACTTTGTAAAGTGCCAGTTTTCAGTATGCAAGTGTTATATTAACGCCTGAGGTCACGTGAGTGGTATATAAACTTCAGCATGCGAGAACATTACTAAGCAGATATCACCTCCTCCTCTACTGTCATGTAGATGGGATTAAAACAGCATAAATGTAAATCATTGCCCGGAGCGCCAGTCTAGTTCCACATTCATTTATAATGAAGATGTTAAGTGTCTGAGAATATTGGCATCACATGAACCAGGGTGCAAACAGTGTGTAATTTCCTTTTTGCTCTTGCACAGAATTGATTGATGATAAAGTTAGACTCCAGTTGATTGGCTTTTTCTGGGTTTGCAAGGGGAAGCTCAATCTCAAGTTGTCTTTTTTTATGATATCACTGTCTGGGAGGGAGCTTGGATGATAACATTTTGCTATGTTGTAATAATTTGAAAATTGAATGTGAAATCAGACAGAGCCCTAATTTACCGGTCATGTTGACTGATTAAGCTGGAGGCTGTAGCTCGCTCTTTCACTTTGTTATAAGGTTACAGTGTACAAAGTCTGTTAATGCTGGTCAGCGCACATTGTTAGATTTAAAGAAATTGACATATTAATGCGGACAGTCAGCTGACTGAGTTTTTGGAGTGAGTCCGTGATTAACTTGTGAACTATATAAGTCAATGCTAACAGTGGAACGGGGGGGGGGCTTCCTCTCTCTTTAATGAGACACCTGAGCTTGAGCTTTGACGTTTGTGGGAGAAGTCATGGTGAAACTTTCTTAAAAAGTTTTGGTGAAACTCATAGAAATACTTTTTTAATGGCAAATTTATGATGGTGTATTTATCATAAAGTAATTTGTTATTTGCAGTTTTCGTATGGTATAATTTAATTGTCATTGATTCCAAAGAATAATTGTAATGTTTTGGCATCCCTAATATCACCTCTCAAAATAATATTTAGGCCTAAATTTAAGATTTATGTATTTGAATTGCATATAACAATTTTCCTTCATTTGGATTATACAGTTTTAACATAAACTAATAATAAACATAATGTAATGCATATTTGTCTGTCATACATAAATGAAATGGGTAAGAAACAAAGATTTAATAAACTAAATGTTGTTTTCCCCAAATACACATTAACCAGGTTTATATATTTATCATCAATAAGTGCAATTGGTTTCTTATCAATTTTAACCAATTAAATATTGGTTGTTCTACAGCTAGTCATATTTTAACGGTTCATACTTTTTAATTGAATAAGTTTTTCACAGTGAGCAGATTTATGCTGATTCTAAACAATTTGAATAATTGCATTTTAAAAATATGATTAAATGAAATCAAATAGATACAAATAGTAAATAATAAACTATGCAGTGATGTTTTTGAGGGCCGAAATCATACCTTGTTACCTATGTATAAGTCACATTAGAAATGCCTAAACTTATGCAAGTATTTGTTTATTTATTTATTATTATTATTTAATCTTTTTTTTATTTTTTTTACTTAACTCTTATAAGGTGGAGAAAAGGATTCGCTATAACAGTTAACTTCTGTAAAGAGTGTTTTCCGATTGCACACTAACATTTTGATTTTAACACAATTTTCAAATTTGATTTATTATTATTTTAATAAGACTTTTTTTCTTGTATCAGCTCCCCCTAGTGTGCCTGCTAACTGCAGTTTCAGTGCTGAACATCCGGTTTCATTGAAGAACAGTGTGCGTCAGCGGGTTTGTCTGAATGGCAGTTAAGGTGTCCGGTTACAGCTGGGACAGAAGGGAAGGGTGTGTGTTGGACCCAGAATAGCACGGACATCGGGTCCTCGCACTGAAAGTTAGACGTCATGCGAGACCCTCTTTAATCACTGACTATCCCGTTGGCTATGTGCGACCTACTGCCCACCTGTCCCTGCATACCTTCACACCTATACACACACACACACGCAAGCTGTCAGGTTACAAGAACAGATCTTTAAAACACACACGTACATTTTTGAAGCTGAATGCTCAAAGTGACCAATTAACCTATATGCTTATGTATTTGTGCTGTATGATGTACCCTCACACATTTCTGTTGTCAGTGACAGGGAATATGTAAGGTCACGTCACATGTAAAGCTTGAGTCTGTTTACCGCTGCGAGCTATGAATGATTTTGCATTGACTCACACTGATTGCCCTCAGGCTGTTCATTAGACTCCTGCTGTTGTCTTGACATGAATTTGTAGATGTTAAGAGAGGTGTTACAGTGTGACCTTTAGAAGACTGAATCAAGGAAGCCAATGTCCCATATCTGTTTCATCTGTTGTTTTAGAGTGTGCTTTAAATGCCAGTGTGCTTTGCCCTGGAGTTTGTGTCAGTTCGATTTCATTGTCTACTTTTCCTTCTTGTGGCCTTTTCAGAGTATATCTACACATATTTTAGCAAAACTGTGTCGCTGCTTCACAATAATTAGCAGTTTTATTACTGTCATTATGACAAAACTACATTCACCCTGCAGCTAAGATCTTACACTATACACTTACACTACACATTCAAAAGTTTGTGGTCGGTTTTTTATTGTTTTTGAAAGAAGTCTTTTATGTTTTCCAGACTGAATTTATGTAGTGTGCAGTAAAACAGTAACATTGTGAAATATAGATTACCATTTAAAATGAATGTTCTACTAAATTTCTATTTAGATATATTTTTTTAAATGTTATTTATTTCTGTGATGGCAAACCTATATTTTACAGTCTTCAGTGTCACATGATCATTTAGAAATCATTTTAATATGCTGATTTGGTGCTTAAGACACAGTTGTACTGCTTAATATTTTAGTTGAAACCATTATTCTGGAATCTTTTATGAATAGAATGTTCAAAAGGACAGCATTTATTTGACATTATATTTCAAATGATAAATGTCTTTAATGTCACTTTTAGTCAATTTAATGAATTCTTTCTTGATCAAAGTATTAATTAAAAAAACATTTTACTGACCCAAGCTTTTGAACTGTAAATATTTAGGCCGCAGGCATGTCTTGGGTTATTGATTATTAAAATATTATTTATTTACTGATGTTTTAATCAAGGTTAAAGTGGATCCCTGACATTTGAAGGACCATTTTATTAAATTAAAGTAATGAGACATTAAAAACTAGAACAGCAGAGCCCTCTTGTGGAGACATGTGGATCATGACTTGAGTTTGAATGTACAGGGCCCCAAAAAGTATTTAGTAGTGATATTAATAATTTTACTTTATTATTTATTTTTATGGGATATATATGAACTTAGTTGAGAAACAAACTTGTGTGAGAAACAAATAAGTGTGGCGTCTCAGCTCTGATACTCATTTCGTTAACACCCTGGTGCGTGTCCAATTAAGTCAAATTGTAATTTAATAAGTATGTGCATCCAGGTGACACTGTTTTGCCGAAGATGCAGTTGCATAATACAACAGTTCAGTTGTATCCATTATGTATTTGTTACATTTTCTTGTGTGTTCATGAGTGCACACTTCAGCTTTACAGCAGTGTGAACGGATTCATTTATATGTGAAAAGTCCACCTGGAACTCCCGCTGTGTTGTGAATATTTGACATAATTGTAAGGCTTAACACTTCTGCTGTAAAGACGCTTACAGGCCATGAATTATTAAGACTACATGGAATATATCATAGATCCTTGGAAGAACCCCTGCCTTGTCTTTCCCTCCCACTGAACATGTTTTGATGTTTTTATATAGGCTCCTGTGTAAATGTTGTGTAAATGTCAGAATATGTGAAATATGGATAATATCATATAGCAGGAATTAATCTGCTCACATTTCCATTTTCTTGCTAAGTCAGGCATCACTATTTGGCATGTAACAAGTCCAAATACAGATTTAAAAGATATTTCAAATAGGATTGCAGTTGTGCTATTACTTTTAAAAGCAATCAGACTTAGGATTTTCCCCTGGAACACAATAAGATGCAAATGCTTTTTTTTTTTTTTGATTCTCGAGTTTGAATGTACAGATTACACAAAAAGTATTAAGTAGAATAATAATAAATTTATTATTTTTAATCAACACGCACATTTGAATAAAAATGAATTACTATTTTTAGAAGTTTAATTATATATTAATAAATATGAAAATTAATTATAAAAATACATTACATCTACAAATTAAATGTAATATATTACATTAAATTAAAATGAATTATTTTAGACATTTTTAATTTAATTGTTATATGTTATAGTGTTATATATATATATATATATATATATATATATATATATATATGAGGGACTAAACAGATTTGAGTATGATAATTGAATGTTTACTGCCCTAGCAACCAGAAACCCCATAGCAACGCATTGGAAACCACATCCTTGCACTTTTATATGCATTGCACCACTCACATTTTTAAATTAGCCATTTTCCCTATTCGCTCTGCACATATCTGTCTCGCTTTGCTTTGAGTCAGGAGTTCATACAGCTCATCCATTAGCGCAGAAAAGCTCTTTAGTGTCCGGCCATGGCTGTGTCTGCTGGTTATTTGTGAGGTGCTTTTATAAATTGATGAGTTCATCTTTGACCCTCAGTTCTGGAGTCTGGTCTCAGCAGGGGCTTCTCTCTCACTGAATCAGCAGTGGATTCTGACAGGCGGGTCCCTTCCCCATCCCTCAATCACTCCATCCTTACTGGGCTCTGACAGAGCAGACAAATGGCACATAACAAGGTGAAAACTCAGTAAGGAGACAGTCTTATAGAGCTTGAAACAGCACCGCAGGGTCAATGTCTCTAAGCTCTTTTTATCGATGCCTTTTGGAGAGCTCTTCAGTGGGTCTAAAT